TCCAATCTCTTCTTAAATGTCTTCTCCACTAGACATCCACTACAATCTCCACAACTTCTGGAGGCAAGCTATTAAACAAAAGTTATACGGTTAAGTTCTGATTAAACTCTAAATATGTACAGAATTATCTTTTCAAAGACAGCATGTTTTTGTGTGGCAAATTATTACAAGTAATAATGATAAACCACATATATATGTATATATACTGTATATATATATATATATATATATCTTAGATCATAAATTTATTCAATGAACTTTACTTTTACAGGCTTTATAGCATATGAGTTTAAGGCTAGCTTTCTCTTACATTTAGCTTTTATGTGATTATTTCATTGTAAAATATGCATGTGGAACTGAAGTATCACTATCCAGCAGCCCACTGGATCTGGTTATGCAAGCCCAAGGCCAGTAAAATTGTGGTAAAACAGACTGTTCAACATTCATGCTATTTTTTTATTCTGGAATTGCTATGATGAAAATGTGCATCCTTTTATTATCAATAAATTCATTCGTTTTTATGTTGAAATCATGAATCCATATCATCTTTCTTCTCAACATTAATTTACTCCTCCTCCCACAATACCCATTACTTTTAAAGTAAATTGAGAATGAAATGTATTTTATTTCAATTATTAGAATGACAGTCTATGACAGTAGTTCCCAAACTTTTTCAGTCCACCGCCCCCTTGGTGCTCAATGCTCATGCTCAATGCCCCCCACCCAGGAGTGGGATTCAAATTTATGTGTGCCTGGCCTAATTTGAGGGTGTGGTTTGCTGGTAACGTGACTGGGTGGGTGTGGCTTGCTGGTCACATGACTGGTGGCATGGCTTGCTGGTCACGTGACTGGGTGGGCGTGGTTTGGTGACTGGCAAATACAAGTGGTCTTCACTTAATGGCCGGTTGCTTAGCAAGTGTTCTAATTTATGACTGGTCTTCACAGAACTACTTGACCTGTTTTTGGAGTTTTGACAGCTATGAACACACATATACACATACTCCCCTCCAACCCTACTGGAGCAGGTCATTGGACTAGAATCGTCAAAGCATCTCTGATTAGATTCCAGTAGTGAATAAAATCTAATCAGAGATGCTGATGTTGATTTGTTTTATTTGTATTTCTTTATTTTATGTTGCTGAATTGCATTGACATGTGTATCCCTTCTTGTACACAACCCAGAAGCTTTTGTGATTTTTTGCAGCAAAAATTACCCACCTCTGGCTTTCTCTACTTTTCAAACATGCTGCCATTGCCGTGTTCTAGGTGCCGGCCCCGCAGGTCCACCCCATTGATCCCACTGCACTGGAGGGACCTGCCCCAGTAAGTCCAAGTGAAGTGGTGCACCAAGTCAATGGGGTGAGCCTGGGAGAGAGAAAGAGAGAGAGAGAAAAAAGAAAGAGAGAAAGAGAAGGAAGAAAGAGAAAAGGGAAAGAAAGAAAAAGGGACAAAGAAAGGAGGGGATGGAGGGGGAGAGAGGGAGAGAGAGAGACCTGATGCATCAGATTGAAATTAGGCCTAGTTTAGAGGCCCTTTTTCACATTGAAACATCTTTGGCTTATATAATTAAAGGTTTTGTGGATGAAACATGGCCAAGACTATCAGGAAGCTCTCACATATTGTTGAGGTTTTAAACAGGATCCATTGGACCAGACCACCACCCTAAAAAATTATACTGCTCAAAAAAATAAAGGGAACACTTAAACAACACAATGTAACTCCAGGCCAATCACACTTCTGTGAAATCAAACTGTCCATTTAGGTAACAACACTGATTGACAATCAATTTCACATGCTGTTGTGCAAATGAAATAGACAACAGGTGGAAAGCACAGGCAGTTAGCAAGACATCCCCAATAAAGGAGTGGTTCTGCAGGTGGTGACCACAGACCACTTCTCAGTTCCTATGCTTTCTGGCTGATGGTTTGGTCACTTTTGAATGCTGGCGGTGCTTTCACTCTAGTGGTAGCATGAGACAGAGTCTACAACTCACACAAGTGGCTTAGGTAGTGCAGCTCATCCAGGATGACACATCAATGTGAGCTGTGGCAAGAAGGTTTGCTGTGTCTGTCAGCGTAGTGTCCAGAGCATGGAGGCACTTCCAGGAGACAGGCCAGTACATCAGGAGACGTGGAGGAGGCCATAGGAGGGCAACAACCCAGCATCAGGACTGCTACCTCTGCCTTTGTGCAAGGAGGGACAGGAGGAAAACTGCCAGAGCCCTGCAAAATGACCTCCAGTGGGCCACAAATGTGCATGTGGCTGCTCAAATGGTCAGAAACAGACTCCATGAGGGTGGTATGAGGGCCCGACGTCCACAGGTGGGGGTTGTGCTTACAGCCCAACACCATGCAGGACATTTGGCATTTGCCAGAGAATACAAAAATTGGCAAATTCGCCACTGGCACCCTGTGCTCTTCACAGATGAAAGCAGGTTCACACTGAGCACATGTGACAGACGTGACAGGGTCTGGAGACACCGTGGAGAACGTTCTGCTGCCTGCAACATCCTCCAGCATGACCGGTTTGGCAGTGGGTCAGTAATGGTGTGGGGTGGCATTTCTTTAGGGGGCTGCACAGCCCTCCATGTGCTCGCCAGAGGTAGCCTGACTGCCATTAGGTACTGAGATGAGATCCTCAGACCCCTTGTGAGACCATATGCTGCTGCGGTTGGCCCTGGGTTCCTCCTAATGCAAGACAATGCTAGACCTCATGTGGCTGGAGTGTGTCAGCAGTTCCTGCAAGACGAAGGCATTGATGCTATGGACTGGCCCACCTGTTCCCCAGACCTGAATACAATTGAGCACATCTGGGACATCATGTCTCACTCCATCCACCAATGCCACGTTGCACCACAGACTGTCCAGGAGTTGGGGGATGCTTTAGTCCAAGTGTGGGAGGAGATCCCTCAGGACACCATCCGTCACCTCATCAGGAGCATGCCCAGGTGTTGTAGGGAGGTCATACAGGCACGTGGAGGCCACACACACTACTGAGCCTCATTTTGACTTGTTTTAAGGACATTACATCAAAGCTGGATCAGCCTGTAGTGTTTTATTCCCCTTTAGAGTGCAACTCCAAATCCAGATCTCCATTTGCTAAATTTGATTTCCATTGATAATTTTTGTGTGATTGTGTTGTTAGCACATTCAACTATGTAATGAACAAAGTATTTAATAAGAATATTTCATTCATTCAGATCTAGGATGTCTTATTTTTGTGTTCCCTTTATTTTTTTTGAGCAGTGTACTTTTCCCCAATGTATTACAGTGCCAATTCTGAAGAAGGCAAAACCAAAATGTATTGGTAAATTACAAGAACACAAACACACACACACACACTCCTTTCTAACCCTGCTGGAGCAGGTGATTGGACTAGAATAGATATATCTTTCTCCTCCCTCCCTCCCTCCTTTATTTCTTTTTCTTTCTGTCCCTTCCTTCCACCCTTTTCTTTGTCCCTTTTTCTTTATTTCTTTTTCTTTCTGTCCCTTCCTTCCATCCCCCCCCTTTGTCCCTTTTTCTTTCTTTTCCTTTTTGCTTCTTCTTTCTCTCTCTCTCTCTCTTTCTCTTTCCTTCTCTCAGGCTCACCCCATTGACTTCGTACACCACTCCATTTGGACTTGCTTGGGCAGGTGCCTCCGGTGCAAGGGACTCAATGGGGTAGACCTGCAGGGCCTCGCCCCGAATGCGGTGGTGGTGGGATGTTTGAAAAGGAGAGCAAAGTCACTCTGGCTTTGCTCTCCTTTCCCAATGCTGCATTTGGGGCGAGGCCCCCAGGATCACCCCATTGAGCTCCTTGCACCAGAGTGTTCAAGTCAATGAGGTGATCCTGCGGGGCCTCGCCTTGATCGCAACAGTGGCAGGATTTTTACTCACCCCTGCTGCTCACCTCCAGCACCCCCCTACCGCCTCCTAGTGCCCCCCTTCTGGCCCCCTTCCCTCTCAGTGCCTCCCTAAGGCATCCCATCCACCCCCAGGGGCGGTACTGCCTACTTTGGGAACCACTGGTATATGGTTTTGCACTGGTAAATTTATTGAAGCAAAGACATTTACAGGTTGTGCACCAGTTACGCCCTTTCCTGGACCATTGGTCCCTACTCACAGTCACTCAGGCTCTAGTCACTTCCCGTCTTAATTATTGCAACATGCTCTACATGGGGGTGCCTGTGAAGAACAACTGGAAACTCCAGTTGGCACAATATACAGTGGCCCAAATGGTTTTGTGCAGATCCCAGTGTGTATGTTTCACCTCTCCTGCGGAAGCTACATTCTTTGCCAATTTGCTTCCGGATGCAATTCAAGGTGCTGGTTGTCACTTTTAAAGCCCTTCATGGCTTGGAACCAGATTTTCTGAGGGAACGTCTCTTGCCAGTCACATCTACCCAACCCATCAGAGAGGGGGGACAGGGAATGCTGCGAGTCCCATCCCTGAGGGAGATACACCTGGTGGGACCCAGAAGAAGGGCCTTCTCCATGGTGACTCCCTCTCTCTGGATCATCATTCCCCCAAAGATTAGAATGGTCCTTTCTCTAATACTCTTCTGGAAGGCACTGAAGACCTGGTTCTGCCAGAGGGCCTGGGGATCCAGAGTAGGATGGAGCCCATCAAATGGCTCATGTGATCTGCTATCATTGGGGCAGGGGGGGTGGGAGTTGGGGTGATTTCCCCCCCCCCCCAGATTTTGTTCTATTGTACTTTAATGTATTTTATTGTTTTTATTAGTTGTTATTGTTTTTTTGTTTTAAATATGGTTTTACATTCTGTAAGCTGCCTCAAGTCGTCCTGGGTTAAGAGGCGGCAATATAAATTGAATAAAATAAATAAATAAATACATTTACGGTTAATTTTCACATGCATAGAGAGGAAATCAATGACTGATGAATTCTTCATTATGTTTTGGGATAGATTCCAGAAACTGAAGTGAGGCTAGAAATGATGGGAAAAACAAATACCATTCAGAGATAATCAAGGAAATTATATTTAGATGCCATAAAGTTAAGTATTCTATACTGTACTCAAAAATAAAGTATATTTCTCTATTTCTATTTAGATGAGGCAAGATTTACGTGTAAATTAAAAATGTTGTTTCCACAAAGTGATAATTAACATTAACATATTTAATCATGTTTCTTTCATTACATATTATCTTTGATATAAAACCATGCTTAAATGCTCAATGAAGATACATTATTAATCATTTCCCTCCTCCATTCAAGTTTTAGAATGTCAGAAACTCAAACATGCAACAATCTGACACTGTGGAGTTTAATAGGATGTTTTATTATAAATACAGAAGAAACATATAACAAAAAGAAAAAGACAATTAAACATCCAACTGTCTTTCCAGCTTTCACTATAATGCTGACCCATTATTTATATGAATAACTTTTTCCCCGGAGATATATTTTCTGACTTTAAATAAATACTTAATATTTTAGCACAAATATGTTGATATAGCATTCAATACTGAACACAAGTGCAAAAGCATGCCTGAACTGGTATTACAATTGTAGGTCATACAAGATACCACTTGCTATAATGCCTTTAGCATTAATTTTCTTCTCTCATTGCTTATTACTACTCATTACTTACTGCAATGCTGAAATAGTAGCAAAACACGTATAGCAAAACACTTATTCAAAATTAGTGGACTAAAATTCTTTGTCAGTCCTATAATAGGTTTTTGCATTTCAGACATTTGCTCCATATTGGTTTTTTTCTTTTAAATGTAGGATAAAATAAATATGAATTTGTGTCAATGTTTTATTACCTCTGGAAACTAAATTCCAGCTGATCCTGCCAACATGCTTAATGTGTTGGTGTAGATTTTAGATGTTTTCTGTTTCATTATGCTCCAAGTAAGTCTATAGTTAATAATTTATTGTGGAACAACTTTACTTATTTTTCAGTCTATGCAGGTGTCTGACAACCAGACAAGCCAGTTGCCTAAAAACAGATTAGAAATAAAAGAATTTAACGGCAGCATTTTAAAAATACAAATGCATTATAGACAGATCCTTCCTGAGATGGTATAGATGCATACTTTCAAGTAGTTTGAGGAAAGATGTACTCATCTTGAAAAACAGCCTTCACTTCTCCATAGTTACTATTTATTTTTCAAGTTAGACAACTATATTACAGTATGAGGAAAGCAAAATGCTGCCTGATTTATTGGCAAGTGCTGTACACATCATTCCAAACACCAGGTCTGTCAGCCTTCAAGATCTTCTACTATTGTTTTGCATCTTTTGGCTGCCATAAGTAACGGGGGGAGGGGGGGGTAGAGTCTGGGAAGCGAGCTGGAGGTGTTACATTCTAGTGTTGTAAAAATGAGGAGGGGGGGGGAGTATAAATTCCTGTTTAGGTTTCTATTTCTCGCTTAGCTTTCTTTTCTCTGCGCAGCTGCAAACCTTTATCAAAATATGCCAAGGTCAACGGACAGAGGCCTCATCACCACCTGAAGATGTCCACATGATCATATTCACAACTTTTAATTGGAAGAATCATTTGAACTATTGGCGGTAGGAACATTTCCATCACTTTGTATATGTGATTTGCGCGCCTAATTTCTCAGATTCAGAATTCTACGGTTGCTACCACTTCATTTTCAGTAAAAGATATCTTTTCTCTAATCTATGGAGTCTAAGTATTTCTTTCTTTAATTTTGAATGGAGCACCAGCTGACAAGGTCTGACTCTGAAATTTAAGTGATGGAGGACAGATGGGTATGCTTCTCAACATGTGTAGGAAAATGGCTTAAGCCAGTGCTGCCAAACACTTGCAGATGAATCCTAAATTGTGAAAATGAATGTATGTCAAGAATGTATGGTGTTTCCAAACTCTTTATATGGAAAAAGTGTATTTTCTTTTTCTCATATAAGTGAGGCTGTGAAAAATTATAAAGGACAATTCACAATCAGCTTTAATGGTATACAGCACTCTCTTGGCAAGATGTATCCTTATTTTACTTTTCTATTGATCTGTCTTTGTTCCATATGCAGATCTCCTGAAACTTGAAGGCAGATGTGATTAGTTCTTCTCTTACATCATTTCAGCCAGTACACTTTAACCAGGGGTGGGATTCAAATTTTTTAACTGGTTCTGTGGGCATGGCTTAGTTGGTGGGTGTGGCTTGGTGGTCATGTTATTGGCTGGGCGTGGCCAACTCAATATCACTCACATCAAGGCACCTGGCCTCTCATGACTATGGGGATGCTGCAACAGTCGTAAGTGTGAAAAATGGCCATAAGTCACTTTTTTCAGTGCCATTGTAACTTTGAATGATCACTCCACACAAGTAAAGTACCAGCAAAAGAGGGAAAGAAAACTCCAGAGAGGTTCCTGAGACAGGAAGTCTAGTCCTTCCAAGAATGTAATAAGAGTTAATGGAGAGGCAGTTTCTGTAAGCAACACCAGAATGTTTCCTTCCTACCTTCCTTACAGGATTAGGCCAGTAATTTCTTCTAACAACCGGTTCTCTGAACTGCTTAGAATGTTAACAACCAGTTCTAGTGAATAGGTGCAAACTGGTAGAATCCCACCCCTGACTTTAACTAATGCAGTATTATTATTTGATGATACAGAAACCTTGACATTAATGAGTTAAACTAAAGAACAAAGATTAGTAAGCCAGTGGCTGAAAACAAGTATCTTCATATAAATTATCCAAGAGAAATGATTATCCTCAGATAAGCTTAAAAGTAAAGTGCTGTATTAAATATTCCAATACTCTTGAAAGAGAACATAATTACCGGAAGTGTAGCTTTCAGCTTTTAAAAGGAGCAGATTGTAGGACAGCAGGAAAGAACTGTAATTTGGCATTTATTTCATTGTAATTTGAACCAAGGAGATTGATTTTGCTAATATCAGGATTATCTCATATTGAGAGGTAGAGGCATACAAGATATGTAATTTAATTATAAATAATCAAATATTCAAAATATGAAAACCTTTTACTACCTCCAATTTGTATAGATATTATTTTCATTCATTTAATAAATGTTTCTTTTATAGTAGGGAGTAATAAAATTCAGCTAATTCTTGCTTGTGATGCTCTTGTATAGGAAACCTAAGGTAGAAGAGTTCAACTGTAAATGATCTGTTCAACACAATATACAGTAGTTTGATTACTGTAATGAGCTCTACATGGGACTGCCCTTGAAAAGTATCCAGAAGCTTCCACTAGTACAGCATGCAGTGCAATAGACTGTTATGCTTGCTCCCAGAAGAGCAGATATCACACCTCTACTTCATAAATGCATTTGTTGCCAGTCTTTTCTGGGTCCAACTCAAAGTGCTAGTTTTAACTGCCCCTTCATTGCAGGATGCTGAATTATGAGCAACCACCTCTTCCCAATTATGTCAATCAGTCTCATTAGATCTTGGCAGAGAAGGCATATTGCAGAGACCTACATTTAATGGATTCTCTGCCATGGTGCTCTCCCTACAGAACATTCTTCCCTTTCAGGTTAACCTCAGGTTAGCTCCATCCCTTTTATTTTGCAAGACCTGAAGAGCTGTTTATGTCACCAGACCTTACGATACCAGGGAATCAAAGCCATTTTAGATGTCTCCATTGTGGTTGATCTTTTTAGTTTCTCTGAATGGTTTGTATATATTTTTATAGTGCCTTTCATTTTTAATATATATTTTTATGTTTTTTAAAATATTTGTTACTTTATTGATTGTTGTACACAATCCAGTGTTGCTTCTTGTTAAATGGGCAACCATATAAATATGATGAATAAATAAATATAAATATTGACTGTACTCTTACGATACATACATTTGAAAGCACAAAATTTCAGTCTTTTTTATTACATAATCCATTAACAAAATAACTTAATATACACTGTCAAATCACATCGATATTAATCAGAAAAAAGACACAGGGTCCTTTCATAAGCACTATTATGACCTATTAACTGGCTTTTCTTATTAAAGGAGCTTCAGTTCTTTAAGCAAAAATGCAGCATTTCTTCCAGTTTAGACATACTGTATATTTCTGGAGATAATTGTTGATTTTTGTTCATTGTTTTTGTCAGAAGTTGCAATATTTTAGTTTGGTTGGTTAATAACTGTTGTATTACAAGAAAGTGACCATTGCTCCCAATAGTCGTCTGGTTTGCTGAGGAATCTTTCCCTTCCTCTGCAGTTTCATGTATCTTTTGAATGATTATTCAGGAGACCAAAGAACTTACCTGGACAGGAAGACAAGTACCACAAACAGGGCATGTAGGGGAAAGTGTTCATTATCTCCCCTAATGAGAAACTCCCACTAGATTCCCTATGACTTCGGTGCTCAGAAACAAAATAGTGTAGTCATGTTTGTAATTTATAGGGCCAGTTAAGTTCTTGATCTTCCAGCACACTCTATCAGCAGTACATTCTGCCCAGTTGTCTGTCCTTTAGATAGTAAAATCCATTCCAGAGTGTTATAGATATTAAGAAATGACATCAATTGTTTTTCCTACCTCTTTTCCAACACATTCTGAAGTAGAGATTGTTTCACTTGGGAACTTCTAGCCTTTGTGGGTACATAAGTTTACTCCAAGTTTACATAAGATTACTTCATGGATCACTGCCTTGGGGCGGCAAAGAGGCTGGGGTAGCTCAATTAAGCTATGAGCTATGCTGTGCAGGGCCACCCAAGATGGACAGATCATAACAGAGAGCTCTGACAAAATGTGATCCACTGGAGAAATGGCAGTACCTTTGCCATGAAAACCCCATGGACGGTACCAAAAGGCAAAAAGATATGTTGCTGGAAAATGAGCCCCTCAGGTTGGAGGTGTCCAATATGCTATTGGGAAGAGAAGAGGGCTAGTACTACTAGCGCCAGAAAAAATAAAGCGCCAGAGTCAAAGCTAAAAGGACACTCAGCTGTAGATGTATCTGATGGTGAAAGGAAAGTCTGATGCTGAAGCGGGATCAAAAAAGACATATAGAAAGATAATCTTGCTAAATCATAACTGTACTCAACATAGGTCATAAGACCAGAGGCCAGAGGGCCTCTGCTTATGCTTACTCAAATATTAAGAAATCTATTTAAGGAACTAACAATGTAACTGTCGCTGTAAACAAGGGTGGGTTTGGAAAGTATCTGGGGGTGTAAGATAACAGTGTGAGGCGAAATATGCTTGTTCATGTCCTCTTTCTCATTTCCTTCTTGGAAAAAGATGTTTTGTAAGTTTCCTGGATTATCTAGTAAGCACATATTCCATATTTGGTAAATATGTCAAAGATGAACGCCCAGGCTTGGGCTGAAGTCACCATAGGTATAAAAGAACCGCCCCAAGAATGCTTGGGGGTTCAGAATTTGTCATGTTAATGCTCTGAACGCTTTGCGCAAATAAACCTGTACTCTTCCACCTCTCGTGGTCTCGTGTCCTGCTTTGGAAACGTGATTTGCTGCAACATTCAATGGCGACCGCGGCAGGACCAGAGGGGCCTTGAGGCCCTCTGGGGGGTCCATCCCGACAGCCAGCGGATCGGTGAGTTGCAGGGAACATCCCAGGTGCCATCGGACCCTTGAATCCGAGGAACTTCCCCAGACGGCTGGCTGCTGTTGTCGGCGATCGACACTCCCAAGAACCACTGGTGAGAGGTGAGAAGAACGGGACTGGGGCTGGCCAGCTGTGGAAAAAGAAGACGCCTGCAGGCAAGTATTGGATTGGGAAAACAATCCCTCCCTGTAAACAGGGACGGAGGAGAGGACTGATCACCCTCTCTTGAAAGGTAAGGTGGGTGGAACTGTCAAGCCTGGTTGAGAAGAGAGACTACTGCAGTTCCCATTGGTGGCTGTGAGTATCCAGCACCGTGGGTCAGTAGAAAGCGAGTGGCGTCCGCAGTTCCCACTGGAGACCGTGCGCATCCGGCTCCCTGGGTCGGGCGTGTGCGTGTATGAGTGTCTGTGTGTCAAATTCCTTACTGTGTCTGAAGAGGGTGGGACCCCTTACCCTCCTCTTCAGCCCCTTTCCTCTTTATCTTGTCTGGTTATGTGGGAGGCTCATGGGCGGTGGAGAAAGTAAACCTGTGACCCCTCTGGAAGTTATGCTAAAGCATTTTAAGGAGGCATAACAACCTCAGGATTACAGGTGTAAGTGGAGTAGGCAGAAATTGCGAAAGTTTTGTGAAATGGAGTGGCCCACATTTGGGTTTGGGTGGCCCCCAGTAGGCACACTTGATATTCCAACTGCAGTACAGGTACATCGCCTAGTCTTCCACCCAACCTTAGGACACCCAGATCAGGTTCCATACATAGACGTGTGGCTTGACTTACTAAACCACCCACCCCCTTGGCTACGACGGCTCAAAATGCAACGGTGCAAAGCTTTATTGTCGCGAAACGTCACCCTTAAGAAATTGCGAAAAAATGTACAGGTGTTGCCTAGTTGCCCAGAGGAAGCCCCTCATCCTCCACCATATGTGCCACCAGGTGGGTTTGAGGATGGGTCGGAAGGTGAGGAATCCTCAGGGGTATCAGACTTTATGGCCCGATTGGACCAGTTATCCCCATACATAAAAAGCCCCCCTAGATCTGAGGGAATGGACCGATTGGTCCAAGTTGACTGATCCCAACCATCAGCCCCCACCCCAATCGAAGGGTCACTGGACCCTACCCCGTCATGGCTGAACCAGTCGCGGCTAGGACCAGAGCAAAGACAGAGCAGCTTTCCTTGGTGGCCCCCCTGAGGCAGGTGGACCAACTAGCAATCAACCCCAAGAACCCGTCTGAGTCAGTTACACTGTCCCTGTTCCAACGTGTACCCTTTACCTCTTCAGACCTACTGAATTGGAAACTTCATTATGGCCCATTTAGTGAGAAACCTACGGAAGTGGCAGATTTAGTGAAAACCATAGTGGATGCCCATAATCCCAATTGGCTGG